GGACTAGAGCATATTCGCTATCGAAACGGTACAATTACATGACCTCGAACAGTGCAAAGTCCACGAATGCTTTATCTATAGATGCAAGGAAGATGCCTATAATACCCCTTCTTGAGTTCTTCCGTCGTCTTTCACAGGAATGGTGTAACAAGCGTCGCATCGAAGGAGGTATGAATTTAATTTGGACTTTAATTAGGTCGAATAATAAGTTAATTATATATATCTTCTTTACAGGGAAACGTTCAACAGTGCTAACCGAGTGGGCTGAAAAAGTAGTTAGTAAAAATGAAGAGCGTACGACAGGATGGTCCGTTTCTGGTGTTTCAGATGTAATATATCAAGTTCATGATTTCAAACATGGTGGCATAGTTGATCTGAGGCAAGAAAGTTGTACATGCAAATATTGGGAAGGAATTGGGTTGCCTTGTGGTCATGTCATAATGGTCTTGAAGCACTTGAAAAAAACTAACTTCGGACATCTGGCTATAGATGCTTACAAAATGGAAACGTACCGAAGTACGTATGAGGAGCCGGTTTACCCCCTTCCAGAACCGTGTGATTGGGAAATTCTTGCTGAGATGATGGTTGTTAAACCCCCGATAATGGATACACGTCAAGCTGGTAGACCGAGAAACAGAAATCGTATCCTGTCACAAGGTGAGGAACCTATAGTAAGAAGGTGTAGTAGATGTGATAGTACAACACATAATGCAGCGACTTGTCCGGCATTGGTCCCAAAGAAACAAAAAAAGGCTACAAAAAGTAGTGCGACATCAGGTAGTATCACAAAAGGGAAAGGGAAAGGGACAGAAGGGACTCAGGAGACGCTAGAGACGCACGGGACACAAGAGACGCGTTGGACGAGTGGGACGCAGAGAGAAGACTATTGTTCAACGTTTGATTTGAATGATTGATGTTGTATTTATAATTAATTATGTTTTGTTTTAGAGGACATTAATTTGTGTACTTTGAAATGGTGTGTTTATTTTAAAGATGATGGGTAATATTATGATTATATTAGTGCATAATTACTAGTAGAATAATAACTAATACTCGAAGATAATACATTCAACAAACCAGAAACATATAGTAAACGTACAACAACAGTAATTAACTTAAGGGAATTGCAAAGGATACTTTTCTTTCTCCATTGTTATGTAGTCGTCCCTAATTCTTATTTTATCTTCCATACGGTCCTTTTGGCTACCAAGTTCCATCATTTCTGCATCCTTGTCAGGAAGCCATTTTTCAGACAGTTTGATATTCTTCTTACTTTTTTTTATCCATTCCTCATGATCTTTGATTTTTTTTAGTAATCGTCATCCTTTCCTCAACCTCTTTGCACTCCGCCGCAATGAGGTCACGACGTTCAGTGAGAGCTCGGGATGAGTCTTTATCTTTTTTTTTTTGTTCTTCAGCCCATTGTAGTTGTTGCAAAGTATCATCAGACATATACGGCTCTCTTAAATTTGGTGATGGGGCAAGAAAAGGGTCGATCGGATCACAATAGAAACAATCAACTTCGTTGCACGAGCAAATATACAAAGTTGGAGATGAACTCATTTTAAATTTTAAAAAAATTTATAACTCTATACCAAAAATCCAACGACCATCCATGACTATATATAGTCCCTTCCACTCCGCAGAGAGCTGTTGTCAGTCCGCAGAGCTTTTTGTCAGTCCGCAATAATGTTTGTCAGTCTGCAGAGCTGTTTGTCTAGTCGTTGTCATCCATACATTACAATTATGGGAATACAATTATTTATTTAAAGGTAAACATTTTTTATTAAAAAGTAAAGAACGCCAACAGACCATTACAACTACGGTTAACATAGAACGGAATACAAACTAATATTCGTTGTGATCCATACAATACAGTTCAATTGAATTGTCGTGGAGGTAAGACCACAACACTTTCAACTGGTATTTCCCAATGCCTAAGGGTTGGAATAGGATTGACCGTCTCAGTTTGATAAGCATTTCGATACACCGCTGTACTTAACTTTAAATTTACCATTTGCTAGATTTCTGCAATTTCGAGTCTTTGTAGTGAAGCTATAGCATGCTCACAAGGTATATCGCATTTTTGCCATTTACCGCAACTACAAATACCACAGTCTAATTGGACAGATTCGGTTGTTGAATACTTAGTCACTTCATATCTGTCGCCAACAATATGCGTAATCCTACAACCATCCGAGTGGATAAATCTTTTATGAATCACCTTAAGTGCATAAGGGGTTAGAAGACCATGAAAATCCCCTGTGAAATGAACTGAATCAAAAAACAAAAATTATGATGTCATAACGTATAATAACATATCAATTCACCATTTGAGTGATGTCATAACTTATAATTACCTCCAAATGCAGCACGTTGAAGATACACTGCTTGCATCGAGTCATGGACCATTTCAATGATTGTTGTTATTGGAAACTCATGCGTGTTTGTTTTAAACCAATTGACAACAACGGGAATGTCAATGAATATAACATTGAAACGTACTCTTGGAAAACAAGCCCGTACCCATTTTGCAATGGGAATATTGTCAAGCCAATGAAGATCATTCCCATTAACCTCATTTTTAAGTTGTTCAAACATGCATAAAAATGAGATAAATTATACGCTTTACAAGTCTTCCAGAACAACTGCTCTACGACTGTATTGCTTCCGATGGAAGCGCGTATTTTCTCGGCTATATTTTTACAACAATAGCCATGATATGAATCAGGGTAGACTCTTTGAACTGCAAAGTCTATAGAATCAGACATATGGCTTATGAAACCAACTTCTGTATAGTCACCTAAACATTCTTTAAGCCTCCTCATGAATCATAACCATGAATTGTCACGGTTTATGGTTCCCAAAGCAAACACTATGAGAAGGGGTTCATGATTTCCATCTAAAGCAACCGCAAAGTACATGGATCTTACATACACCCCAATTAGAGGTACTTGACCAACAAATATGATTGGTATCATAGACGTGAGAAACGTACGAATCTGTAAGTCAACATAAGAATATTAGGCATATAACAACTTGAAATAACTAAATATTTATTTACTATAAGGGATTACATACCACGCATCCCAATGCCACGAAACAAATTTGGAAACGATTGTACTGATCTTTCGTAATGTACGTGAAGGTGTTAGGATTGGTTCTTTGCAGATTATGGAAAAAAGTCGGTAGGCTGGAGAAACTTTTTCTTAATACCTGATTGACTGAACTCATTTTCACAACTTTCGACACCTTGTAAAAATGGAAATGCTTGTCCAATTTATAAGGAATTAGTATACATTATTTTGCAGAACTTACTTGTCAGTCCGCGTAAATGACTTGTCAGTACGCGTAACTTATTTGTCAGTCCATGTAACCTGTTTGAATGTATGGTTTTTAAACATGGGAATTATTTTTCATAATATAAAGGATGAATACCATATTACATATAAATAAAGCAATACAAGAACAATACAAAACGCAGTACTAGTTAAAAAAATGGGACATTTTTCAAAAGATTCTAAGGGGCTTCATACTCGAAACTCTGTCCGTTGCTAATGGATTTGTATTCTTCTTTAGCTGCCTCCAAGATGTCTTCCTCAGTATCATTCACACGATCGTCTTCAATCTTATTATAAAGATCGTTGAATAACACAACTTCTGTTTTCAATTCATACCATTTTGCAGCTATATCAAGCGTGCTGCGATGGTTTTCTATGGTGGTTTCAGCGTCAGTGTTGAACGTATTCGTTAATAGGAACCAAAACATTCTATCCTCCAAACTGGTGTTCTCGTAGTCATTAATATATGCACGAGTTAGAAGCAAATACTCGTTAGCGGTCCATGGGTTTGAACCCATTGTAAAACATACAAACTACATGAACTAAAATAGATTAGATGAAGTGATACATAATTTTTTGTCGTTTTATATAGACATGACAGTCCACAAATATCCAACGATCATCCATGACAATATATAGACCCTTCAACTCCGCAGAGAGCTGTTCGTCAGTCCGCGTTACTGACTTGTCAGTCCGCATAGCTATTCGTCAGTCCGCGTTACTGACTTGTCAGTCCGCATAGCTATTCGTCAGTCCGCGTTACTGACTTGTCAGTCCGCATAACTATTTGTCAGTCTGCGTTACTGACTTGTCAGTCCGCATAGCTATTCGTCAGTCCGCGTTACTGACTTGTCATTCCGCATAGCTATTCGTCAGTCCGCGTTACTGACTTGTCAGTCCGCGTTACCTATCTTTTTATATATAGTAAAGCAAGTATCTATACGTCCGAATTAGAGGTAAGGGATCATTTCACAAAATGGCATCCAATGTACCAACGTCTTCAAATGCAGCTAATCTGTCTAATGCGTCTGCTCCAACAAATGGTACATCTCCATGGACGACAACAAAGGTGTTGGTCCTAACACGATGCTGGATTACCGTTTACGAGGGTCTACCGGTAATAGCTCCCCTTAATTGCCTTCTTGGTGATGAATGGTCCCGCTTAGTAGCTTTGTTCAACTATAACGTGGGACAAGGACAAAAACGACTAAAACCCGATATTGTTAGTAATGGATGGATTTAAAGACTAAAGTCACATGGTACAATCGATGCTACAATTATGAGAAAATGCGATGCTCTGATGCTGATGATGAAGAACTTCTTGAATACGTGAACGGATATTACCTGTGCCAGTTTGATGAAACTGAGTTCGAGTATACGGACGTTTGGAATCTGGTTAGAAATAAACCCTTTTTCATGTAGACGACTCTTTTATTCGTAATGTTCTATGTAACGTTTGTTAGTCGTTCATCTTTTATTTGCAATGTTTTCTGTAATGTTATTATGTTATTTCAAATTTTTGTTTTGTTTTTAATGTATCGTAATAGATGTTGGTGAATTATGTTTCAAAAAATATATGATACAAAAGTTGTTTATATTAAACAAAACTACTAAAAACAAGTATTTCATAATAATGTATACAAACTTCCAAACATCAAGTTATTTAGTATCCCAAATAATATTTGTCATCCTATTTCTGTAGAGAAATCTCGCATCTCTACATGGCTTATCACTCTTCACCGGTACCCCCGAAGCAATCATTTCCATATACATGCTTACGAATACTCCACAATCCCCTCTATTAGTAATATATTCTTGTTGTGGCGCGTCTACAATATCAATAAACTCCACAACTGCGTTGTCTTTGTGTCCATCGGGGAAATCCTTCCAGTAGTCAATCGCATCTAGCTCTTCGATTATACTATCCCCAAAACTTTTGAATTCTCCACCAGTCAAGTACGTTGTGAAGTAATTCATACATCGTGCTGAATCATAAATGTGTACTTTCCAAATATCTAAATGTAGCACTACCAAAAACCAATGGGCATGAGGAAAGTTTATGGGGAATAGAACCTGCAAACAAAAACAAATTTAATAGTCATTAATTCGTTTCCTATATAAAATAAATAATTAATAAACTTAACTAACCATATCCACATCCTTCCATTTAGGATGGCCTCCAACACCATTTGCAATATTCCTAAGAAAATATGTTTTTCCGTTTTGCAAATTAAGTTCTTGAGGGAATATCGTCCACCTTGCGTTCGTCGGCCGTCTTTCCATGAGCAAGGCACTCTATATCGCAATATGCTGTACATTTTAAGATAAAAATGTTACAGTTTTTTATATAAATTATCGTCTAAAAATGTAGTTAAAAATTATATTTAACGAATGTTACCGAAGAAATTAACCACCCAGCGTCAGTAACTGCAAGTAACCTCGACCAAAACTCCACATCCAGTGTGAGCATATGCAGCCTATGTTTAGTGTTTAGGTTGGAAGAGATCCTATTCCATTCTTTCCAAAAAGTCAACGTACTGGCAGCTTCAACACTGTCGAGTAGGAGATGATTTGAAACATCATTACTCTCTTCATTCACAATGTCTTCATTTGCTTTTTCAGGACTCTTCACAACTTTTTTTTTCTTTGCTTTGGTGATTTTCTTCAATTTTGGTGTGGATTGCATCTAAAAAATTAACATGTTAAATAATTATCAATACGTTAATATTTTAAAAATATACCAAATTTAAAATATGAGTTTTGTACCACTGTGAACGGAGTCCGCTGATACCATGGAACACCCCTCTTTCGTTGCGGCCTAACAATAGGAGTCATTTCTTTTGTGTGATGTTCACCCACGTCCGATGACGGCTCAACATGCGTAGGTGTAGACCCAAATTCCCCCTCCAAACCATGAGTACCTATATCATCATAGTTAAAATGTGTATGATGGTAATATTTTTCTTCCTCCTCTTCATTTATCATCTCTTCCTCCTCCTCCACCTCTTCCTCCTCTCGAAACCCTCTGTCTGGTTCAACATTTGTGTCTGGTTCTTTCTTTTTTCTGTAATACACGGTCTACTTTAGAACTTAAGTCAGCCACAACGCCTAGTAGACGCTTCACTAATGCCTTTGTGCTTGTCTTCTTATTCTTTACCAATCTTGATGTGTCGTTTGACATATAACTTGTTTTTATTTCAAGATGTTGCGAGGAAGAAGCATTTGTGGCAGATTCATTCGAAGATGTTTGTATTTCGGACTTGTACATCCTTCTTCGAGCAGGCGAGGCAACATGAGGTGGACTATTTCGGACAGGACTATGTTGTCGTGGGGGAGACTCTACAGGATTAAGAGTCCAATTGACATAACGAACATAAAATGACAACATCAACTCCTCCGGGGTTGCCATGACATTAATAGGTTGGTTGTTAGGCTGCAAAAATCAAATTGTTAGTTTAACATGAAAATACATTGGAATTTGTAAATATAGATGATTGTTAATATAAAAACCATACCACAGACACGTTCATTATTCGACAACATTGAACCCAATTTAACGGTGTTTTACTTCTCCACGCCCTCATCCGTGGCAATTCTGTCGGCGTGCGTATATAAAACTTGGTTGCCTCTGGGAACGTCTCCAAAATCCATATCTATGAAAAAAAAATGTAAGTATCGTTCTATTATACTATAAAAGTCATGATACAAACTTATTATATAATACAAAACGAAGTTCAAAGTTTTTTAGTATAAAAAACTAAACAATGAAAACTATTAAAATGCATTAGAAAGTAACTTAAACGGAAGCATAAAACTTCTTGATTCGGGATTGGCCTGCTTGAATTCTCTAAACTCTTCTATTTCTTATACATTCCACGCATCATACGCGAAGTATATTTCCAGAAATACGTACCCCATGCAAACCTGCAATTTTCAATTTATTTATTATAATTAATGCATTGCATACTACTGCGGGAATGCCTGTTTTAAATGTAATACATATTCCAATCATCTATATTATCAACAAGCTTGTTTACTGCTGTAGGATTGCCCGTTTTAACGTCCCGTCCGTGTAGACCCTTCAACATAAAAACAAGCTGGATAAGCATCACAGCATCTTCATCTTGTAGTGCTAAATAATTCGGGGACATAATTAAGTCTTCTAAATCTTTCAGCCGCAAACGTGCATCAGAAATATCTGGGAACAACCGAGCACGGAGATTTGAATTTGACTGGCCCTTTTCGTCATGGAGTAAATCCACATAAGGACCAACTTTTAAACCACAAATCAGAATATATTCAATTTCACCAAAACCCAACTGGATCCCCTTTATATCAAACAGAAACCTCCCCATTTCAAATATTTGTTGACACCTTACTTCGTGCAACATCATCTTATGCACAAGTAAGGGATCACCATGTGGGATATGCATTCCTAAGAATATTCCAAAGGGGGAACCTTCGAATAATACTCGTTGTGATTGTGTTAGGCGCGGAAAATAGTCTTTAACGATAGTCCCCACCACGCCTTTCAAAGTTAAATCCGCTTTTTGATTGAGATCTTCGTGCTACACAACAAAAAAATATTATTTCATTTAAAACATTACTAATTGAAAATAAAAAAAATATATTATTTCATTATGAAATAAATAGCAACATACTTAAAGGCAGAAAAAAAATTATTTTGCAAAAACCAATTTTTAAGGTCATTCCGCGGAGGGTAGATGTCATTCCGCGGAGGCCTCTCTGCGGATTGACCTCTAGCCTCCGCGGAGGACTGCATGCTTCGATTATAACATTCCGCGGAGGTAACACATCACTCCGCGGAGCACCCTCTGCGGACTGACGTCCCCCTCCATGGAATGGATCATCCCAAATAACGTACCTGTGATTTCTAAACCTAAAAATCCTAAATCTGTATACATTTTCAGTGTAATAAAATGGGTTTTCCTCTAATTTGAATCATATTCGACATTTTCGACATTAATAATTAGATGAGAATGTGAGAAATACCCGGGAACCGTATCCATCAGCCATAACATCGGGGAATTTGGGGTCCATCGGTGACGAAGAGAGCTGTGCGACCCGATGCGGAGTTGAATTCGTCGCCGGAGTTCAAGTCGTTTAAGTCGTCGCCGGAGTTGAAGTCGTCACCGGATTTGAAGTCTTTGATCAATGCCTATGCGACACGATGCGGAATGACGAAGAGGAACGGGGACCAGTGGGGACCAAAAGAGGTCCCCTTCGTTTTTTTCAAAAAATTTGGTTGAATTTACGAAATTACCCCCTCTACGCGGAGATTTCATGGTTCCGCGGAGGTCCGCGGAGGGTCCTCCGCGGAATGTATGTCTATATCTGGAAAAAAAAATTATGACTAAATTTAGAAATTGACCCCAATTTTTTGTCTATCTGTGGTATATTATATGCGGATCTAAGGCATTGGGATTGGGGTCCGTGTCATATAAATATAATTGACTTTAAGAGTTGTTGGATTAATTTTATTTAAATATATAAGGAGAGGCCTGCAATGAAATTTGGGCCAGGCTCTTAGAGATTCGGCTTGTTAGCATCACTTTGGGCCAAAGAGGAAATGAAGCTCGAAAATAAATAAATATAAGCCCAATTTTGTTGGCTCTTTCAACGCTAGCAAAGACGCACAAAAAAAAAAAATAAATAAATAAAAAATCAACACAGTGATTCATTTTAATCTCCAACCAAACACCCTATGCAGTCCGCCTCTCTTTAGTCTTTGGTCTTTCTATCTCGTTCTCGACCTCCAACCCCTTCTAAATTAGGTACGTTCAAACTTTAACCTAATTCTTGTTTGATAATTTTGAAAACTTCGCATTTTTGTGATACGTATTATGCTTGATATGTAATTGTAATTAATTGGTTATTTGTCAAATGCAGTTAGGTTTTAACCAAACTTTTGTTTGGTAATCTTAAAGCCCTAATTTTTATTACTTAACATTTTTTAATGCTTTATATTTTTATATAAATACATATGATTGTTTGTAAAAAAAATTATGTTCTTAAATTTGATTTGTGATAATGTAATATGTGTTTGTAAATAATTAATTAGTTTTATGTGATTTTGTTAACTTTATGAAATTATATAATTGTTTGAAGTTTTGAACTTTGAATATAGGTCATGTGATGTTAGATTGGAATGGAAAAGAAAATCGTGGATTACATGTCGATCATCTGAATTCTTGAAACACATAATCTGAAAACGTGCATAAATTGCCCATAATCAATGATCCATAGGTGGTGTTTACCTATACGTAACACTAGGGAATGAAATGAGTCTCCTATATAAGGGGGTTGAGGTGTTGTTGCTTTACACATGTATTTATTCCTGTGATACAAAATCATAATGGGGAAACTTATTTGTGTTGATGCTGCTCCTTGTTCTCTTCACTACAGGCATTTTACTTTATTCTTCTTTTATCCTTTTCGTGTATGAAATATGAGTGATTTTATATTATTTTTGTTACATGTTTAGGTATGAATATTTTTCTTATACATGTCGATTCTTTAAATTATGTTTTTAATTATAATTATGGAAAGGACAGGATCAGTACAAGTGTAACAATCCAAATTTCAAGGCCAAAACTTTCATTTTTAAGTTATTAATTATAAAAACCATTTGTCTGAAAACCAACATAACATCAATTATAATAAACCAGAGTACTAATAGTCGATACATATCCTGATAAATAGTGTCAGAGTACAAAATCCTAGGAGCATCATATGCGGAAAAATAGTGTGTGTGATGCGCTGCTACCGAGCCGGCTCCTTTCCCCTGGAAGAAGAAGGACCTGAAACAAAACTGTAAACCGTAAGCACGAAGCTTAGTGAGTTCCCCCATCATACCACATACCATTCAAGCACATACTGTTAGGCATACCGGGGTGCCCGACCTACCCCTGTCAGGCATATCTGGGTGCCCGACCTACCCTGATGAGCATACCAGGGTGCTCAACCTACCCCATGTCAGACATACCTGGGTGTCTGACCTACCCCTACCGGTGTATCTCAACCGATCCAGGGGACTATTTCACCCCCTACCACTACTATAATAACAGGACATCAAGTATTGTTGAGCATGTATGTCAGAATTTCCTATCACATATAACATATCGGATAGTGGCACCCAGACAATTATCACAAAGACAATCATCTCCTACATGATCACCTACTAGTGGGCCGTCATTTTCGTCGAGTTGGTCCATCAACTCGTTGAGTTCCCCGTCATACAAGCTGAGGTATTTTCTCACTACTCGCCGAGTGAGATCTTGAACTCGTCGAGTCCATCTTCATCTTAATTGGGACATTGACACCTTACTCACCGAGTTCTTCCCTGAACTCGTCGAGTCCTATGATCTTCGATTCCAAGCCAAATCCAACTCACCGAGTCCTCTTCTAACCCAACGAGCTCACACGGAGCCAAAAAGGTTGGGGACCACGACCCGACTCGCCGAGTTGTATGAACAACTCGCCGAGTCCCTCATGTACCAAATCCATACAGTCAATAATACTCGAGCTTAATGCATCCAGAACCTAGATCTAGCCTTTTAGGGTCGATATTACACGTAAAGTTTCAAGCTTTACGTGCATGCAAGGTGTTGAGCCAAAAACACCATTTCTAACTCTAATATGAAGTTTAGGCCAAAAAGGAAGGGCTAAAGCATTTTGAATTCGTGAACTTTATGGCTATAAGGACTGAAAGAAACCTGGATCTGAAGTTACAACTTCAGATCACACTGTATACTCAAAAAGGTTCACAAGATTGCTAAAAGATGGTCCTAAACTCAAACATGGAGAGATCTATCAATAGGAGGGTCAAGGAAGCAACTTTATACCTTAATGGGACTGGAAATGTAGCTTGAATCTTGGATCTACAGTTCCCTTAGACCTTCTAGCTCCTTCTTCTTCTTTCTCTAGCTTCAAAATCACACCAACACTCTCACAAAGGATTCACACACTCAACAAAGCTCAAGGGACACGAGTTAGGGCGTTCTGGACTAAGGGAGACGATGGGAGCTGCATTGGAGGCGGGTTAATGTGTTTATATAGGGTGTAAACCCTAAAATTTAGGGTTTCCTCCAGATGGGTCTACTCGTCGAGTCGGGCTCTTGACTCGCCGAGTAGGTGACTTAAGTCCCGCGTCCAAAATTCTCATCTACTCGATGAGTTGGGCCTCTAGTTCGTCGAGTCCCAAAGTAAAATGTAACAACTTAAATTTAAAATACATACCGGAAACTGGGCATTACAAATCTCCCCCACTTATTCTAGACTTCGTCCTCGAATTCTGTCGCTGTATCCGTGAAAAGCTCAGGGTAGTGCTCTCTCATCTCGTCCTCCGGCTCCCAAGTCTATTCTGACCCCTTGCGATGCGGCCACCACACCTTAACCAACTCCACCCTCTTGTTTCTCAGATCCTTCGTCTTCCTATCGAGGATAGCTACCGGTCGCTCAATGTAGTTCAGACTATCGTCAACCTGAATATCCTCAAGGGGTACCACTACTGAATCATCCACCAAACACTTCCGCAACTGTGAAACATGGAAAGTGTTGTGGATCTGGCTGAGCTCTGATGGAAGGTCCAATTAGTAAGCAACTCGACCTACCCGGGCTAGAACGCTAAACGGACTGATATACCTAGGGCCCATCTTTCCCCGCTTCCTCAACCGGATGAAACCTTTCCAAGGTGACACCTTCAGTAGGACCATGTCGTCCACCTGGAACTCCAAATCTGAACGCCTCCTGTCGGCATAGCTCTTCTGCCGACTCTGACCAGTCTGAAGCCTGCTCCGTACCTGCTGGATCCTCTCAGTAGTCTTGAGTACCACCTCGGTACTCCCCATGACTCTCTGACCGACCTCGCCCCAATATATAGGGGTCCTACACTTCCTCCCGTAGAGCATCTCAAAGGGAGGTCGGTATATGTTGGCGTGGTAACTGTTGTTATACGAAAATTCCGCTAACAGGAGATACATATCCCAACTTCCACCGAAATCCAAAACACATGCACGAAGCATGTCCTCGAGAGTCTGTATCGTCCTCTCGCTCTGCCCATCTGTCTGGGGGGTGGAAAGCAGTGCTGAAATGGAGACGAGTACCCATCTTGTCGTGAAACCGCTTCTAAAATCTGGAAGTGAAACTAACATCTCGATCTTACACCACCGAGACAGGCACCCCATGTCGCGCCACTATCTCACACACGTAAATCTCGGCCAGCTTCTCGGCCGAGATACTCTCCTAGATCAGGATAAAATGAGCACTCTTGCTCAACCGATCCACGATGACCCAGATCGAATCAACTCCACGAGCGGTCCTGGGAAGCTTCGTAATGAAGTCCATGGTGATATCTTCCCCTTTTCACATGGGAATATCTAGCGGCTGCATCTTTCTATGCGGCCTCTAGTGCTCGGCCTTGACCTTCCTGTAGGTCAAGCACCGCTCCACATACCAAGTTACGTCCCGCTTCATGCAAGGCCACCAGTAATCAGGGCGAAGATCCTGATACATCTTCGTCGCCCCAGGATGGATAGAGAACCTCGACTTATGGGCCTCATCCATCAGAATCTGCCATACTCCACCCCAGAACGGAACCCAAACCCTCCCATGCAGGGTCAATAATCCTCGACTGTCATAATCAAAAGAGGCCACCTGACCAACGATCCGCTCACACTTCCGGCGCTTTTCCTTCATGCCCTCAACCTGCGCCTCTCGGATCTTCTCTAGAAGTGGAGTAATCACTATCATCCTCAGACACAT